CGCTGCTGCAGTGTGGCTGCCGCAGAAATCAATTGTCCATATTTTCCAGAACAGCGCGGCCGGGCCACCTCCCCTTCCCCTTCCCGCGCCCACCCGCACTGTCACCTGTCCTGCGGGCCCCCCCTACCCCCGCGACCCGCGGGCCTCGGACGCTAGGGACGTGACGGCTCCCGGCCACCTCTGGGCCTGAGCTCCACGACGATCGCGTCCATGGGTGGCGGAGTACTCCTACTCCTCTCCCCTGTATTCGATGGGCTCTGACCCCCTCGACCACGGGCGGCGCCCCGCGCGTTTGTGCCACGTCGCCCCATCACGAAACCCCACCACCTTTTCTCTCTCTTGCTCCGTTCAGAAGATGGGCGTTTTACCGCGGATTAAACTGTCCTTTGGTTTCTCGGTGACATGTTTACCGTCGTACTGGCATGGATTCTCTACAGTTTCCTCAAGGAAGCGGGGCGGGGCAGGAGTGGGTCGGTGGCGGGGCCAAGGGGCAGAGAGGGAGGGTCTGCGAGCTGCCCGTCCCCTGCCCTGACTCTGGAGGGACTGGGGGCGGAGGGGAGGGTGTGAAGGGAAGGCGGTGCCCAGGGGCAAGGGGCAGACCAAAAACAGCTACAATGTCAATGGCTCACAGGAAAGAGCTTTGTCAGGAACGGTCAAGGGACAACTATTTCCAGTGGTTACACCACAACCTTCTCAAAACGTAGCGGGGAGCAGCACAATACAAATGTCCCTGTTTGTAGCTGTAGCTACACTCGGTACGGCCGCATGCAGCTTCATTCGAACCGACTGCCGCGGCCGCCAATGCCCCCCCCCCCCTACTCTCCCCACGCTTTAGTGAGAAACACATACAAATACAGAGAAAAGCAATCAAAAGAGCCAGTTACGTTCGTACACCGCAGTTGCGGTAATCGCGGCAAGCGCTTGCTTCCAACCAACAACAGGGGCGGCATGTTCCCCCCCGCAGCGTCTCAGTGGCTTTTGTAAACGACCCTCTTTGTAGCGATAACCTACTCGGCTACGGGTGGCCTCATCCTAACCCTAACCAACTGACTGTACTTCTTCAACTTCAACTTCAACGAGGGTTTTAACGACTGCTTGTTCATAGCGAACTGGAGCCACCCATTTCTCGGGTCACGCAGTCAGGCCGGGTCCGGCCCATCCCCTGCGGTAGGCTAGTGCCGTGTAGACCAAAGACAAAAGTCCGCTCGGAGCTGTACATTCTGGCGCCCCTCCCCCCATACCCCTTCCCCTCAAAACCGTACCGGATAAAAAAATTTAAGAACTGACAACTGACAACTTGAGATGACTTGCCTGCGAATTGACAACTGACAACTTGAGGTGACTTGGCTGCGGGTAGACACAGCAGCCACTGGCACTGGGAACTGTATAAAATGGAGAGAAGTCTCACACTATGCAATAGCAATATGTACCTGAATGTGTTAGTTGTTATGCATTAGTTGGTATCTCGGAAGTTGCCTGCATCGGGCATTCCCTTTCAACTCCCAATCCATCTTTATCGTCGGGTCTGGACTGTTCGATGGGCTGTCGTCACTCTTTGCCTGGAGGCTACCCTGTGTTGGTTATGTTGTGTACTGAACTTTGTCTCATTTAATCAAACCAATGACAAAATATCAACAGTTGAAGCAACACCTGTACAAAGAGGGTCGTCTTTTGGGACCCACTGCGACTGCGATTACACCGACTCACCATTATCGGCAGCAGCAGCAACAGTAGCGGCTGCAGCAGCCGCATACTCAGTGATTAATGCTGTATGTATTTATTTCAAAACGAATAATACGATTGAAAGCCGTCGTGCCTTGTTTGCTATCTGTAGAATAACTATTGCTTGAAAATGTAGCAGCACGGAGTAAATATTTTGTCCGCCCCTTTCCTTGCTAATTTTAGGTAAGTCTAAACAAATTTAAGGTTAGGTACTGAGGCCGCTTCCTTGAGCCGTTCAGTTCGACGTTTACCAAAGTTTATTCTAACTTGAACTTGTTTTCTGTTTTCGGTAAAGCTATGAGCCGTGCGTTTGCCTCAGTTTGGAATGCTGCTCTTCCCACCGTGCTCGTTGTCGGTGAGTGTCAACTCCGCCCTTTGACTTTTTCAGATGGTTTGACATAATGTACTTTAACACCTTGTGGTGGAGTGCAATGTACATTTACTCTTGTTGCTGCTCATTGATCAGCAGGTAACTTACACTCATTCATGCTCATTGATCAGCAGGTACACTCATTCATCAGAATCGAACTGGACTGCATCCTCACACTCAATGGAGGGCCCACGTCAACTATCACATTAACAGGTGAGTGATAAAGTTTCCTGAACACCTGGGGAACTTACAAGTTGTTTCCTTTGATTTGTCAATTACTATGTAGAGTGAACCATTTCTCCTTGTCTGTGTAGCTTGTTGTTTTATATAGGTAGGGGTCCTTTTCTTGTTGATTATTCATTTCTAGTTCCATTCCCCGAACCTGCAGAATAGACTACAGCTTGAAGTCGTGTCACAATTCTGAGAATGTTTCCTGAGACAGACTTGGAGGTTTACACTGTCATTTTCTAGTCTCGGTCATCCTTAGGGTCGACAACCCAATACCTTCTCCCAGCTTGGCTCAGGTTGATAGCAGGAGTTGTTGTGTGTTTTGATATGTTGTTTTACATTTCACTCTCTCTTTTTCTAAAACAATGGTAAAAGAATTTTCATTATACCTCCTGGAATGGTTCCAAGAGTTGGCAAGCAGGCAGAGCTGCTGGGGTTTGGATGAGCCGCTTGTGCCCGCTTGTGCCTGGCCGCGGTGCGCGGTGGGGGACGGGGGCTGGGAGTTGGGCGTGGCGGCAATATTTGCGAGAACAATGCTGCGCGCGCGGACCAGCAGAACAAAAGGTGGTAATTACTGACGTTCAACTTGAAGTAGGTACAAGTGCAGGCCCACCCCTTGAGCTGCGTTGTGCAGCTGGGAAACTACCTCCTGAGGTGACCTTGTCCTCCATGCCCCCCCCACCGAGGCGGAAGATTCAAACGGCGGATGACAAATTGCGCGGCGCGCGCGGCGGGACTGGCGGCCGCCGCCGAGGCTGCCGCGGTCAAGGAGGGAAAGGGAAGGAGACGAGTCGTACCCCGCGGCCATGCCGGGCGGGCACCTCGTGAGGTCGGCGGGCGTGGGCGAGCCCCCTACCCCCAACGCTTCCCCCGCACAGTAACTTCTCGCGATCATTTCCTCGCCGTCAGCTTTCGCCCTTCCTTATGACTCCGCTTCCCCTTTACTTTCGCTTCCGGACAATTCTTCTAGTCCCTCCATTACAGTTTCCTCAAGGAAGCGGGGCGGGGCAGGAGTGGGTCGGTGGCGGGGCCAAGGGGCAGAGAGGGAGGGTCTGCGAG